TTAGACTACTTAGACTACTTAGATAAAGAACGAATCTCCTTTATTATATAGGAACGATATTATAGTTTATATAATAGCGTTTAACTTACTATTTAATTTTACTATTTAGTTTATAATTATACCCGAACCTCTATTTTAAGATTATTTTAGTAGTTTACCGACTCTCTCTTTTTAACGAGCTCTAACTAAAGACTTAAGTTTAGTACCCGTACTAAGTAAGATTCTAGGATTAATAAACCGATCCTAATAGAAAACTACTATTATTATACTAAAAATATAGTAGCTATAAAGTTACTAGCTTTTTTAAAACTATAAGCCTAAGCTATAAAAATACTACTTTATTAATCTTTTAGGCTACGAGATTAATACTACTAGCTACTTAGGATTAATACTAGTAATAACTTTCTAGTTAAATATATTAATATACTTTTCCTATATCCTTTTACTATTCCTACTACTATATAATATAGACGCCTCGTACTTATCCTACTATAACTAGAAAATAGTAAGTATAATTTCGACGACTAGTATATATAATAGCTTCCGTACGGACCTCTTACTAATAGCGATAGTATCTCTAGAGGATATAGCTATAGGATTAAGGGATACTATAATAGCCGTTACGAGTTTCTATTTAGCTAGACGGGGTACTACTCTTTCTTACAAGACACGAGCTGTCTATCTTCTTACTTAGTCACTAGCAGCTGGAATGGATACGAATGCCGCTTGCACGACTCTCCAAACCCAGCTAGCGACATGTATGATGCTGTGCGTATACGACGTCTTCGACGAGAAGGAATGCCAATGGAGGCTTCATATGAATGGCGCCAGGCATCTTTTTCGTGCGCTGTCACAGCGTCAGGGAGTCCGCTCTGGCAACGACTTTTTGATGACGTGGTTCCTGTATCACGAGGTGTTCGGGAGGCTCTCACAATCACCCGATCAGACTGTGTGTACACATTCGAGGGGTTCAGCAACACATCAAACGATCCAGAGCTGGTAAGTAGCAGTCTTGCTCGCCCCTGACTATATCGTGTAGCATTGACAAGTGGCAGATCATTGGGTCAATCGGCTGTTCCATGGAGATGCTCGGCTTGATCGACGCCATTGACAACGCCAGGATCTCTCATCAACCAAAGAGCAAAATGTCTCCTCACATGTACGAACACAAAGCAGCGCTTGAGAGGCAGCTGGAGACTTTAAAGCAGCATGACAGCGGAATGAATTCTATCGGCGAAGATCCTACCTGTCAAACCGCAGCAACTGCAGAGCTCTATCGTCTCGCCGGGCTGCTGTACTTGCATCAAGTGTTGCCTCGACCTGACGATCAGCTTCGCCGGAATCAGAACGTGGAAGCAGCCTTCAGCTTGCTCCGGTCGATGAAGACGTGCACAAGTCCTTGGCCGCTATTCACGCTTGCCTGCGAAGCCAACACGGATGATCGTCGAACACTCCTTCTAGATGTCTTGGATCGCATGGATGAGACTCGCAAAATCGGAAATGTTTTCAGCTTGAGGCATATCATTGAACAGGTCTGGAAACAGACCGATCTACGAAGCAAGCCGCTGCAGTGGTGGACCATGTTCAACCTCGAGACTGCTGGCCCTTGGTTCATCTGAGTGCGTCAACATGGGCTGCACGGCAATTTCTGCCTTCTGCCTCACGGGAGTGTAGTACTCTGCTTGTTCATTACCGTCACATGTTTATCTGCCACTGGGTTGACCAGCAGACTGAGCAGGTCGGGCCTGGCATAGTGCCCAACGACATCAATGAACGCTTTCGGACGATCGATATCTCGCAGATTGATGTCGGCAGTCAGAATCGCTTCCGCTCCAGCGTCGACCGGCTCGCAGAGTGGTTTCCCGTCCGGCCCGAAGATCATGGAGAAGCCTCCACCAGGCTATCACATACATCAGTAGGGTATCTGGCCACGAGCAGAGAGTTTTAAAAATACTTACCGTCTTGGTCACGGGGTTGCCAGTGAGATTGTTCTTCTCCAGATTCGGTTCAGTCAGGACCTGCGAAGCCACGAGAACGAAAGCCTGGCCCTCGATGGCGAAGAATTGACTCGCTCGATAGTTAGCCTCGCCAGTCTCGTGGTAGAGCCAGGCGATCTTGCTGGGATCCGGCATCTCAAACTCCGCCGGCCAGCTGGCGACATGAATCTGTACGCCTTGCGAGTATTCGTAGTAGCGGAGCAGTGGCTGCAGGTGTTCCCAGCAATTCAGCCCGCCGATCTTGCCAAAGGGGCTGTCCACAACACATTTCAGAGACTCAGCTTGGCCATCCCCCCAGATCCTTCATGTGTCGGCTTGATCTTGCGCCGATGGTGGACGACCTCGCCCTCAGGGGAGATGAACGATTGACCCATGTACAGGCTGGAGCCGTCTCTCTCGCTGTATCCAAGCACGATGAACATACCCGCCTTCTTCACCGCTGCTTGGATCTTTCGCATCTGGGGCGAGTCACGACGCATGGAATTCGCCATGTAGTCATGGATGTGGTCTCCGTTGGCGATGACGGGTTGTGTCCACATGGACCTGCGACAGTAACAACACGTTGTCAGCTTGGAGAGAGATCTACGAGAAGAGTTAAGACTCACCACGGGTAACCTGGAATCCATACCTCTGGAAAGCCGAGTACTTGTACACCATCCGCCGCCGCTTGCTCGATCAAAGCGATCGTCTTGTCCACGCTGCCATCCAGATCCAGCCAGACTGGCTCAGCCTGAACAGCGCCCACCCTGATTGTTCCAGTCATGTTGGCTGAAAATCTTGTCGATTCACACTTTTCCCTGGGAAAGCAGAGAGGACGATAGAGGGTCTCGAGCCTCCGTGCAGAGGCGGCAGCAACTCTTTAAGAGCCTTCACCTTGGCCGCCTCCTTGCAGATCGACTTTCACAGCATGCGGGGTGTGCAGCATGAGCGCCGGCAATGTGACAGCATGCAATGATATATACATTGGCCATTGGGTATACGTCGACCTGGCTAGGCACAAAAATGACTATCAAGCTTATGCCGGGCTTACTGGGAGAAAGTTGGGGCAGGAGTTTGCGATCATTGAGCTTTGCCCGACACCAGCTCCACATCCACACGGCTATCTAGGGCAACACTTTGCGATCGCCGTGCTTCGGCACATGTGATCAAGCCAAGAACCTTGTCGTCTTTGGATTGACCAGACGACGAGACTAAGCGCCATCTTCCGAAGCTCCCTCCACATGGCTGTTGAGGTAACACTTTGCGATCATTGTGGTACTCCCTTCCCGTAAACTTAAACCTGGCGGATCGACTTCTACAGCAGCCCAGATAAGCACAAGATGATAGTATGCTTCGGGAGATGGTCGAGCAGCAGTCACAGGAGATCGATATCTCGAAGACGTTCCTCAAATTGCTGTGCCGCTTCTCCTACCCTCCTGACCTCTCATCCACCGTACACATCGAACTTCCATCTCCATCAGGATGGGCAACTCTGAGGATCCAGCTGCCAATGGTGGCCAGCTTCGACCACGCCTTTCCCGGCTCTCGATGATTGGAATGACCTTTGCCATTCTCAACACCTGGATCGCACTCGCAGGCTCCATCGGGCTGGTGCTCCCCTCTGGCGGACCCGTCTGCTTCCTGTACGGGTTTCTCTTCTGCGTGGCTTGCAACTTCGCTCTGGGCGCCAGTCTGGGCGAGTTGGCAGCAACTTGGCCGACGGCTGGAGGGCAATACCATTTTGCGTATATGCTGAGTACCGAGCGATGGAGGAGAGCGTACAGCTACTGGGTTGGATGGATCAGCATTGCTGGGTGGCTGATGCTCGTGACGACCGAGGGCTTCTTCTCGGCGCAGTTCGTCAGCGCAGCTGCGAATATCGCTTCTGGAGGAAGATATCAAGTCGAGGCGTGGAAGACATACCTCATCTTCCTGGCGATACTGTCTTTTGGGACGTTGTTCAATATCTTTGGCAATAGATTGCTGGGCAGATGGAATGATGGAGCCTGTAAGTCACAGCAGAACTTGAGTCCCGACCTCCTGCTCACATCTGTCCGGAAGTGTGGTGGTCCATTCTGTCGGTTATTGTCATATCTGCGGTTGTGCTCGCCACATCGGGGAGATTCAACAGCGCTTCATATGTGTTTGGCGGCTTCGAGAACGAAACTGGATGGCCGGACGGAGTCGCCTGGATCTTGGGTCTCCTGCAGTCTGCCTTGTCTCTGACAGGATACGACGCAGCCCTGCACATGACCGAAGAGATGCCTCGTCCGTCGCATGATGTACCTCGTGCAATCTTGATGGCGATTGGCATCGGTGGCATCATTGGGTTTGCGTTTCTTCTGGTAATTCTCTTCTGCCTCGTGGATCCCACTGCCGTGTTGAGCACATCTACTGGCATGCCAATCTCCGAGCTGATGTTGCAGGCAACTGGGAGCCGGGCTGCGGCTACGATCTTAACGTTGATGTTGGCAGTATGCTTCGTGAATGGAACCTTGGGCTGCATCACCAGCGCAAGTCGTCTGCTCTTTGCGATGGCTCGAGACAATGGCGTGTTGTTCTCCACGTGGTGAGATCCATGCTTTCGACGCAGATTCTTGAGACATATGCTGATGTAATATTCAACCAGGTTCGCCCACATCAATGCTCGACTCGAAGTACCTGTCAGCGCCGTCATCTTGACCTTTGTGTTCAACGCCTGCTTCGGACTGCTATACCTCGGTCCCACCGTAGCATTCAGCGCCTATGCCGCCAGCAGTACCATCTTCCTGAACATGTCATACGCGGCGCCGGTCTTGGTTCTCGTGATTCGTCGACGCCGCATTTTGCAGCTGGATAGAGCACTGCCAGTCGGCTTTCGAATGGATAACGTCCTTGGCACCATAGCAAACTGGACGTCGGTCCTCTTCGTTGGTGTCACCTCAGTGGTAGGCACATTCAGTGTGGTCTTGTCGGATTGCATGCTGATTCGAGAAGTTCTTTTGTTTCCCAACGGTCTACCCGACGAATGCCAGCACCATGAGTGAGTGCAATGATCAATACCAGTTTGCATTGACTCTGCTGACTCCTTGGCCACAGACTACGTCTCAGCGGTAATTGGGATCTTCGTGCTCGTTGTGGGTATCCACTGGTTCGCCATTGGGAAGAACTTCCAAGGTCCTGTGAGTCAAGTCGCCTTCGTGTCACGCTATTCAGCAGTCGCTGACGATCAACGCTCAAGTCAATCGATGTCATCAGCATTCCGGTTCTCGTACATGGGCGGCAAAGCTCAAGCGAAGACGGACTCCAGGACAAGGAAGTAGTTGAAGCAAAGGCATGACGATGTCAGTCGGTGTTCTCGAGCTGGGCAATTGACGGTTTCAAGATATTCGGTTGAGCCAGAATCAGATGCCAAAAGTTCTGCTTCTTGCTGCTCTCTTTCCAGCTTGATCGTGTTACGGCCGTTCAGTGCCGCTCGTGGTTGTCGCATTCCTCATTCCCTCCATTAATATTTCACGAAAGTTGTCATGCTTGGCCTCATTGGACAAATGCGTGTACAGTCTTTCAAACTCCGCTTCGGCCGCGAAAGACAACCACCACTGGCCAAGTCTAGAGGCGAGATGGAACCAGTAAAGTAGCAGCAGGAGAGATATCTGTTCGCCATCTTCTAGGCGAGAGATGAAATCTGGCGGGGCCCTCGTGATAAACCAGGAAAGGAGGTTCGTAGCCTCGGGAGAGGGATGGAGGCCTTGGAGCATCTCCAAGACCCTGATTCTGTCGCCGAACATGATCTTTTCCTCCGGGCCAAGAGAACTGCAGAGGGCACGGAGTGAATGGGTGATGCAGCTTTGCGAGGAATCTTCTAAGGCGGTGAGTTGCTCGCTGACCTGCTGGTACTCCAGAGTACACACTTCAACCCAGTGTTGCCAGATGCCTTGACGGAGCTGAGCAATGACGGGAGGCATGTCCCAAAGAGTTTTGATGCCTCGCAACGACAAAACCTAGACTGGAACTCTCCAGCGCTGAGCGTGAACCTGCCGATGAGCATTCACAGAGGCCAGCATGGAATGAAGATGACCTGCAAAGAACAGAGCATCGGCGTTCTGCGACTCCAGCTTCCCCAGTAGGCAGGGCTGGTAGACTCTCAAGGACTTCTGCCACAGCACCAACGACAAGACCCCGTACGAGCCATGTTTTGTTTGGAGGGTAGCCAGGTGGGCTGCTGAAACTGCCAGAGCGGCAAATAGCAGGTATGGATTCCCAAGAACCTGGTGCGTTGTGCTCCGCTGCATGACCTTCTGGATGTGTGGATGTTTCAGCCATGGCCGGTCGCAGCGGAAGAAGTGGTCCAGACATTCGACGGCGTGGGTTTGGATGAGGGGAGAGTACGTGAGCAGGTCTGGGTCGAGGTCGTTGTTCGATGTGGGCCTTTACGATGGGTGTGAGCAAAGCCAGATCGACGACGGGGTCTTCCGAGTCGAGAAGCTGCTTGGGGCATGGACTGCGGTACAGGCAGACCTTGCGTAGGCGACTGCAATGGCTGCACGTCGGTCGCTCTTCATTGCACTGGTGGAGCTAAGTCAGCCCATGCTGAACGCAGAGAATCACGCACTGACTTTGATCCTGCGCCTCCTGCAGACGTCGCAGCCATTCTGAGATTTGTTATGGGATTTGCGTCTTCTGTGGCCAGTCTCGGAGTAGATGGAGAAGGTGTCTCTCGATGGCGTGAGCGAGGGGTCTTCGTATCGCCACATGGGTTGCCTGTTCCGTCAAACGAGTGCTGAAGATACGAGTCTTCTGGGAGATACGAATACGCCTGGTGGTGTGATAAGAGTCGTCTGGTTCGCTGGAAGGGTAATGATCTTGACGCGGCGAAGAGGCGAGACAGGCGCGGGAGGCTGCTGCCAATTATGGACCCAAGATGCGTATAATGACATGGGGAAAGTGTGTAGACGGAAGATTTTGGCCGTCATCGTCTCATGTCGTCCAGAACGCTGCAAATGTCTGGAAGTCGTTCGCGCTTGTGGCTTGCACGTGCTATGTAAGCTCTTTGTCAGGGTCTTGTCGATCGCGGCAGGCAAGGATGCCCAGTCAATTTTGCTGCAGCTTCCAATATAAGAAGGCTTTTCCCGAATAGAGGTTGTTCCAATGAGTCGACACCATCGTCCTTCCCTCCTCCTCACCTGTTCGGATGAAATGAGGGCGGTTCAAGACACGGCGAGCACGTCAGCTCGGGAAGCGGCTCTCATCTCCCGTTTATCCTCACCTGACCTGGCCTGCTTCTTCAAAGGCTTGTATTTGCGATGCGCTGGAGGTGTCTTGGGACTGGCATGGCGTCCTCCAGCGCCCGGACGTTGCACCAGCACTCGCCGCACCTCCTCGACCGTCTCCGCTTCCTTGCTGAGTCTGCAACTTGACGCAGACTCGCCCGTATCCATCTCACCATTCCCACAGGACAAATCCTCCGCGTTCCAGCTCTTTCATCGATATCCATCCCATTCCTCCCTGCCAGGTATCCGCCAAGTGCCCTTCTCTTCTCCAACCCCTCGCAGCGCGGCGACCAGGTTGATGAAAAAAAAGTAATCGGCTGACAGGGCACGTCTGAACACGCGCAAGCCTTGTGATGACCTCGAGGGAACATCGAGTTGAGAAGATGACTGCCGAGACAGCCACCTTCTCCGGTGGACCATCAACGACGGCCCTGAGCAGGAAGTGCTCCGCTCGAGCTCCGTCGCAGCGATGAGCCCACCTTGCCACAAGCCCGCCAAGTGGTGGGACGTGTCTCAGTGTCCTGAACATGTCCGCACAAGGCCAGCAAGCGACGCTTGTGGTTGGAAGTCCACCGCGGACGGCCCTAAGCAGAAACGAGGTTCGCTCGAGCTCCATCCACTGCGACAACCAACCTTGCCGCAAGCCAAGCCGTCCAGGTGAAGAGGGCGGCCAGGCTGCTCTGGCCACTCACCTCACCTCACCACCCTTCAGGCACACATCCAGCAACCGACGGCCCTACGCTGGAATCTCATCCACGCGAGCTCCATCCGTTGTAGCGTAACAGCGTTGATCCCACTCATCCTCCCCAACGCGTCGCTTCGACTCATTGCTCCATGATGGCGAGCAATGGTTTGTTGTGATCCGACCGCCGAGATGGAGCCTGTCCAGCAGCATCTCCGCGATGGATGTTGTGTTGTATTGTGGTCCGGGTGAGGTGAGGTCGTCGAAGTCGCACGTCGAGATGGGGAAGTCCGGTGGCGGAAGTCGCGGGTGGTGTGTTGAGGGGAGCGCGAGTGGTGTGCTGTCGTGAGGAAGTCGCGAGTCGCGGTGACGAAGTTGCCAGTGATGGAAGGCGCCGGTCGGATGTTGGACGCACGGAAGGCGCAGAGGGCGCGGGTGTCGATGAAGGGGTGAGGGAAGGCGTGGTCGATGAGAGGAAGCCGCGATGGAATGGTGGTGGTGTTGGTGGTGGAGAAGGACGAGTCAAGTTCGAGTCCGAGATCTGGAGGACGGAAAGCTTGGCCGATATCGGAACGGATACTCCCGCTGCTGATCCGATCGCCGAGCCGCCTCCCGACTTCACTTCCCGCCGTCATCCTCAAATTACCAACAACAACACTGCCGTACATGGATATCGGTCCAGTCTGCTCAAAAAATGGCGAGCTGTGCATACCATATCGTGCCAATCGCTGCTGGTCTGTTGCTGCGTATTCACTGACCCCACAGGCTAACTTCATCTTCCTCAAGCAGCGCTTCGAGAACAAAATTGCCAATATTCCAAGGCAACTGCCCACTATTGTTTGGCCACCTTCATCGCATCTGCCGCCCTCGGCTTGGTGCAACTGCTCTCAAGACTCTACCCTTGGCACCTGAGACTACCATCGTTTAGCCCCCAAAGTATGCCTGCGAGTTCGGCCCCCAAAGCATGCCTGCGAGTTGTTCAACTACATAGGCACCACCGACATTCACCGGTTGCTTCAGCCGCAGCGGTCATGCCGAAACCGTCTGACAGACTTTCTACACTCTACCAATTCCAACAGAGGAGAATCTTGGCTTGACGCTGCTACTGTAAACCGGGTCAGCTCGACACCATGGCTGAAGGATGCGTGGGGTATATTAGAGGGCAGACTGACCCTTCAAACAAATACATCTTCTCCTGAGTCCCCATCCCATACGATCAGACTTCTCTCGGAATCATGGCATCGCAACAACAAGTCTGGCTGGTTACCGGCTGCAGCACCGGCTTTGGCCGTGAGATTGTTCCCCAAATTCTCGACCGCGGCGACAAAGTCATCGCAACGGCTCGAAACATTGATTCAATCAAAGATTTGGAGGGCCTTGGGGCTGGAATCTTGCAGCTTGATGTCACAGCCAGCTTCGAGGACATTCAGCAAAAGATCGATGAAGCCATCACAATCTACGGCCGAATAGATGTGCTCTTTGCCAATGCTGGCTACGTTCATTACGCACCCATCGAAGAGGCCGAGTGAGTCTTCCCACCCACACTCACATCCCATTCTGTTACTAACAAAACCTTGCAGCGCATCAAGCGACATCCTTCGCAACATGTCTACCAATACATTTGGAGCCACGAACCTTCTCCGTGCCCTCATGCCTCAATGGCGAAAGCAGAAGTCCGGATTCCTCCTCGTCAACAGCTCCTACATGTCTTGGTGGTCAACACATCCTGGTTGTGGCCCATATGCAGCGTCCAAGGCAGCGCTGGATCGTCTGGTCACAACCTTCGCCAAAGAAGCCGAGCTTCAACAGCTGAATATCAAGACTCTCGTGGTCCACCCCGGTCACTTTCGAACTGATGCGACGAAGCTCTCCAAGTACAATTTCGATCGTCCGACCACCAGCTACGCAGAGATCAACGCTTTTAGCAGAGGTACTCTAGCAGCCATGCACGGCCAGCAGCCTGGCGACGTAAAGAAGGCATGCAAGGTCTTGATTGATCTCATCAAGGGTGAAGGTGATGTGGAAGGAAAGGAGATATCTCCAACATTGCCGCTGGGGACTGATGCGTGGGAGACGTGCGTTCAGGAGACTGAGAAGTACTTGGAGATGCTCAAGGATTGGGAGGGTGTCATACGTTCGACAGATATAGTCTCTGGATCGAGTGAATGGGGAGCGCAAGTCACGGAATGAAGGATTACAATCGATGGGGACGCTAACATGCAAGACCTTGACAACTTTTGCCTCGTGTAGCATCATGAACAACTCTTTTCATGCTGGCAATCTTCAAAGTTGAGTTCGTATTGGAACCTCATGGCTCGAGGCCGAACATGCTTCCACGGATTCATACGACGATATTATTACTCTTTACAACATTGTACAACCACTGACCTCCATCACTAGACTTTGGCATTCATCTCCCGTTTGGCCCAGTAGCCACTGAAGTCGCCGACTGGCAATGGCCACTTGAACCCGACAGCATCCATGATTTGGACAAAGAGCAAGTACCATCCTAACAGCGATGTGACGAACCAGGTGCCTCCGGTACCCTATACACAACAGTCAGCTTCAAGACACAGAAGGATTTCCAGTCAGTGGGCTTACCTCGCACAGCCGATTGAACAAGACAGCATCATTCAGACCTTGCTCCCAGAAGGCGCCGGCCAGCAGCAGGAAGCCCAAGCCGACGGTGAAGAAGACCATCATGAAAACGGCATTGATCCTCACAGCGCCAACCATGAAAACCAGGCTCAACATCCCAGCTGCGAGTGGCCAGAAAGCTGGAGAATCTGTCAGCGGCAAGCTCTCTGGCATCAAGTAGACAACCCACCAAGTGACGACCAGAATGCAGGTTCAGTCTTGCCCGTCACATAATCACCGTTCGGGGCGTACGCTCCCGAAGCATTGTAGAAAGGTTGAAGAGTTGCGCCCCAGCCGAAGAGAATGCCGCCTGGAAATGGTCAGTCCACTCTACCCCTACTGTTGCGTTTACTGTTCTGACCGTAGATGAAGAAGACCACGAATGAGAAGGTGTTGCCGAGGAAGAATTCAAGAAGACCGCCGACCCAAAGACATGGACCGCCGATGAAGAGAAAGACGCCGCTGCAGCACTGTCAATATTGCACATGTTGATCCTTCCTCATACTACTCACATCGTTGCAGTACCCAACTGCCCAGATCCACGCCAGCCCATCAGTTGGCAAGAAAGGGGCGTCAAACCCATGACAAAGCCGCCTAGAGCAAGAGGCGTGGGGTTGCCGAACGTCTTGCGTAAATCACCCTTGACCTGACCTTGCGGCTGCAGGTACAGCTTCTCGAACTGCTCTGGCGTGATCGTAATGATCGAGTTTGTCGTCCTGATCCGCTCCAGGGTCTCAGCCGCCATGTCGCGGGCGCTGTCTGGACCATTGCTGCTCTGCGGATTCAGGTACTCTTCCGTCTTCTCTTCGGCGGCAGGAGCGCCGTTGACAGCGTTGTGGAATTGTCCGCCGCCAAACTGAGGATTCAGATATTCTTCAGTCTCCTTCGCCGCAGCTGTAGGGTTTTCCGTCGCCATGATGAGAGAGAGCTATTCAAAAAGACTGAAGACAAGGCCTGTCTGGGAGCAGGTAGGGAAGAGACCAGGTAACCCTAAGCAGTGGAGCGGTCCATTGGTATATACCAGGCTCTGTTAAGACGTACCTCCTCATCCATTGCTCCTCCCGTCTGTCCGGCTTACGGCGTCTCGAACATCGCGATCGTATACATGTTGGCGATCTCCTCCTCCTCATCATCAACACGCCAAGGTTGTTGGCTGGATGAACCTTTGGCACGCGACGGACCACAAAAGACTGAAGAGCAGCTTGCAGGTCTCCCATACGATTGCGTGTCCGAGCCCGCGCCTGGTGACGAAGATCTACACTGCATATCTCCCTCACGCGGCGATTCCAAGGTGCCGGAATCCGACCCAGTGTTTTCCAAGTCGCAGATTCGACGGCGACGTGAAGTCATGATGCTTTCGTGTCGAGGTTGGAAGGAAGAGGATCCGCCCCATGGGGTTGATGGAGTGCGGAGAGACCTATCAATGTTGCAAACTGCACAATAAGATGCTGACATGTGCCCCTCGCGAGGGGACTCAGTAATCCGAGACTTCCATCATCAACGTTCTTGTGCGTACGTCGAGATCGAGTTAGGCCATGTGACAACCAAATAGTGCCGGCATAAAAGTTCCATGAGCCCAGGAATCTGTGGCTTATCTGGAGCGGCTGAGGAAAGAAGGGGCTGATGGCTTTGAGGCTCGAAGATTAACAGCTATGGAAAGTGCTACTCCCCAGCTCGACGGAGGATGCAAGCAGCTCTTCCTTCTCGTAATGTAGCCAAGCTCCGTGGGACAGACAAAATGAAAGATCTGATTACTGAAGCGCTTCATGATGTCCCTTGCCTTGGAGAGTTTTTCTCCTTGCTAGTGCGAGGCTGTGACGTTCCCAAGTTGATCGGTGGGCGCATCTCAAAAGTCCACCTATACTTTCTTTACATTGCCTGTCGAGGATCTACCAGCATGATTCTCGAATGCATGTCGTTCTTGCCGCACAGGTCAGGATTACCCTAGACAGTCTTCGGTGGCATCTAGCCCATGGGGAAAATCGAAAGAACCTCGTCATCTGCTGCAGGTACCAAGGGCTAGAGCTCTCCCACATATGCCTTCACAGACCCATGTGCTAGCGACGATCTCGTGCTGTATTTTTTGTTTTGCTTGCGGACGGGATCTCATTGAGGAGCCTGAAGCAGCAGTAAGCCGGTTGTACTGCCAACAAGAAGTAGGTTGGCGAACGCTCCTTCGTTCGACGAAGAAACACCTATAGAAGCAACATTTTGGCAAGTAGCCTAGGTCATTACTAAATCGTATGTGCCTTGTTGCCTATGCTGCAGACCCTATCTGTCGATCTGTGCCTAGGTCCCTGAGCACGGAGAAGGCCGACTGCAGCAGTAGAACTTACTATAGGACAATAGTCACTCCTCCCAGATGTCAATTCCCATACCGCTCACCAATCCCATCATACTCTTGTTCGTTAGCGTGCATTGTCATGCTGCTCCCTTCAGCTGTCGCCGAGTCCAGTGTCTATACTTTTCGAAGGACTTGCCGAATGCATCTCTCGGAACAAAGTGGTGCTGCAGCCTTCACATTGTGCATGATGGTGTTGGACGAATGTCTCCATCTGGACCGTTGCATAGCCTCTCGAGACTCGTTTGCTTTGCCATGAATGTGTCGACACGATCAGAAGTTGCAGAGTCAAATTCAGCTTGGTTGAATGCGATGCTTTCCCACTTGCATCCGTTTTGAGACGATTGTATCTGATCGCAGGACAAAGCACTCATCGTACCGCCGTTGTGCCTACATACCGAGTGGAAGGAAGAGAGCGTCTGCATATATTGGGGTAAAGCTGATTGATTGACATTCGTTCCTGCATCAGCGACACATCAAAACCGCTCAGCTCTCCACTGCAGTTTGACAAAATGCCTACCCCTTTTCTGTAGAGTTCCCAATATGAAGCACAAGTGGCATGTGGACGAGGTTGAAAGCTTTTAAGACGCTGCATGGATGACTTTCATGACGAGAACGATGAAGACTCTCGGACATAGATGGAGAGATGTCAACTTAACAAACCGCCTCATGGCTATCATATGTCCCACTTCGTCCTTGTACACATGCCAAAAGGGCGCCTAGGGCGTCTCGACGGGAAGGGCTTGCGAAGGGCTGCAGATCTACTACTAGGCTTGGTCAAGCTTAGTCTCCCGCCCTTGTCAATCCTTCAATCCTTCCAATGTCACCTCGGCCGGCTTCTCAAGTAACTCTCGGCCCCTTGTGTCTTGTCCATATTCTCAACCATCTAAACAACTTCAAGACCACAGCCGTCAGGGTATTCATCATGGCGACAGTAACGCAGACAGTCGAGCAAGAGGCCATCGAAGGCATAGAACACAATGCCAAAATCCCGGCCGTTGAAGTTGGTCCGTCATCCGCTGGCAGGGCCCTCTCATCCTCTTCTTCGTCAACAACAACGCCCAGTAACAACAGCCAGCCTGGTTCGACCCACGAGGCTCCAGCCGAAACAGAACGCCCCAAACTGTCCACATTCCAAGCGTGGATCGTCATCATCCAGCTCTGCGGCAACAGCTTCATCAACAGCTTCAGCGCCGGCCTGCTCATGGTGTGTCTGCCCGTCATGGCAGCCGATCTGAACCTCCCCCAAAACCTTCTGACCTGGCCAAACTCCGTCTCTGCACTCACCAGCGGCTCGTGCTATCTGGTCATGGGTTCGGTCTCTGATGTGCTGGGAGCTCGACGAATGAACGTCCCTGGAAGCTTCCTCCAATCCATCTTCATCATTGCCACTGGGGCGTCCCAAAACGGCGGTGAGCTAATTGCCTTCCGCGCCCTGGGCGGCGTCGCCAATGCCCTGTTCACGCCATCTGCCAGGGCCATGCTCTCCACCAACATCGCCCACGGCAGGCTCCGCAACTTCGGCTTCGCCTCTATGTTCTTGGCCTTCCCTCTTGGTGCTGGCCTTGGTCTGGTCTTGGGAGGAATCTACGCCGACGAAGCAAACTGGCGGGTCGGATACTACTCCAGCGGTGCGGTTGGCCTGTGCCTCTCACTCTTGGGGCTTTGCACTCTGCCTAAAGACGAGAAGCCTCTCGGCACGGCACGAGAAGCACTGGACAGACTGGCGTTTGAGATTGACTGGATGGGTGTTGCCCTGGCAAGTAGCAGCGTCGCTCTACTTTCAGTCGTCTTTGCCATGCTGTCTGTCAATGCGGACGATATCCGTCGCCCGGTGAACATCGTACTCTTGGCGATCAGCATCGCACTCCTCCCGGCTTTCGTTCTATGGATGCATCGCCAAGAGAAACTTGGGAAGCCAGCCGTCATTCCCAACTCGCTATGGAAGGACGGGAGGTTCACGAGCATCTGCCTCATGATCGGTCTCTCCAATGGAGCGCAGAGTGGATTGTCGCTGTTTTGCAGTTTGTTGTAAGCTCTTTTCCGCTCACATGTCTGGCACGTTCTAAACACTGACACAACCCAGCTTTCAGGAAGTCCAGCATCTGTCGGCGTTCCAAGCCTCCCTCCGCCTCCTCCCACAAGCTGCTACAGGAGCGTTATGCTGCATCTTCGCCGGAGTCTTCATTAACCGAGTCTCTGCCTTGGCCGCCGTAATCGTCGCCATGGTCTTCTGCTCGCTCTCTCCTCTCCTCATGGCCATCACACAGCCGTCGTGGCCGTACTGGTACAGCGCCTTCTGGGCCCAGGTTGTGGGTCCATTGAGCATAGACGTGTCGTTCATCGTTGGATCACTCGTCATTGCAGAGGTCTTCTCCGGCAAGTCTCAGGCTCGTGGAGCGGCCGTCTTTAGCACATTCTCTCAGATCGGAGTCAGCATCAGTCTGTGTATCATGTCCGTCATCTCGACCAATATTGCAGGAGACAAGCACACTACTGAGGCTCTCCTCCGCGGATATCGAGCCAGCTTCTGGACGCAGTTTGCCTGGATCGCCGCCTCTGCCCTGATTGCCGCAGTTGGTCTCAGGAAGCTGGGAAGGGTCGGCATGAAAAGAGACTAGATGTCAAGAAGACAGGCGGTGAGAGCCAGGTCTCACGGATTTACATTTGTTCCCAGTTCCTGGGTGGGTCGTTTGAAAGCTTCATGAGCTTCCGCAACGGCATCGTATTTGAAGGCCCAGGCCGCCATCTCGGCTCGTGTCACTACGGTCTCATCAGTATTGGTCTCAATACAACTATGCTGCTTCAACTGACACGGCAAGTCGCCATGTGGGAAAAACCGAGCAGCTTTCTCTTTATCTTCCTGATTCGGCCAACCATCGTGCGAAGGATCCGTTCGAGACATCAGTTGGATCGCACTGGCTCGAGGTCTTCGCAGTTCTTCCCAAAGCTTCAACCTGCTGGGAATGGCAGACTTCGATTCGACTCCCTTCAGTACAGCACCCAAGACTGCCGCATCTTCGACGGCCTGTGCTGCACCTTGGCCCATCTTCGGCTGCATGGGATGGCTAGCATCCCCAACCAGGACGAGGCTTCCAGAGTCTAAATCGCAGAAATGGTTAACGACTGTTGAGAAATATTATTCAATCACTTACGTAGCCTTTCCAATGGATCTCTGTCCACTATCTGCCACAGATACGTGCCATCTTCTTCGACAAGGGCAGTGATCGAGGCGAACGTGGAATTGATGTGCCCGAGTCTTTGCCAAGCAATCTCCTTCTTTTTCCGTGTTGTGGTAGAATGGTCATCCGGTGGGTCTTCATGATACAAGCCAAAGTTCTGCAAGGTATGACTATACTTTCTATTAGCACGTCTCCGTGGTCGTGGATTGTTAAATACCATACTCTCGGCATGCATAGTGAGCGATGAAGTTCCCGACCGAATCGATATAAACGCACATCCGATCCTTTGTGTTCTCAACCAGCTGCTTCATGCCATGATGTTCGAGCATGACCGTTGACGGGATAGTGAAGCGCACATTGTTCAGTCCCGTAGCTCTGGCTGGATGCTCTTCCCCAACAATCCATGTATGGGCTTTTGAATTATTGCCATCAGCAGCGACAATCACATCCGCATGAATGACATCTCCAGAGGCTAGTGAGACACTGCCTAGCGATGGGTTGTACGCAACAACTCTCGAGTTGCACCGCAGTTGGGCAGGCTTTCTCGGCAGGCTTGGATCCACTGCTAAATCTCTCAAAGCCTCATGATAGTCCACTCGATGGACAGATAAGAAAGGTGCATCGTCCCCAATATCTCGACTCTCGGACCTGATGGCCTCCATGGGTTCAACGTCCGCCTTGAAGACGTCTAGGCTTTTCTGATGGCATCCACGCAGCTTCGTCATGTCCATGCCGAAGTGCTTGAGGATTCTTGTTGCATTTGGTGGGACGTCAATCGCATAGCCGACTTCCTCGATGGTCGTGCGTTTCTCGAGGATCGTGACTTCAATATCTGCTTGACGAAGGGCGACGGCAGTGGCGAGGCCGCCTATCCCGGCTCCTACGATGATGGCTGTCAGTGGCATGCTGTATTTTGTTCTGCAATGATGAAGACTGCCGCAGCCATGCTTATATCACCTTGGCGGTGGCCCGACTTCAGCTGACACCGAGTACTGTAAGCTGAAAAGCGAAAGCGCTGCGACCATGCAACCTCATTTGGTGACTTGAACGTGATGACGAACGTGATGACGTACAAAAGCTGAACATGCCAGTAGCTTACCCGGGCATGCTTTCCAAGACCATTACCTTCTTTGGCTAGTATTACAGCTTGCCGGACCAGTCAATTTGTTGAGGCGTTTCGAATGGACCGAATTGGAATAGGGGGACCTACAGCCATGATCGAATGAGCCAAGGGCAACAGTATTTGCATTAATGTTGAAATGAGAGTACGGCCTTAAGTCGAGGTCAGTAATCGTACCTCGAGAGAGCTCGAATCGACTTACTCAGACTCCAGTCAACCCGTGCACTTCACTCCCACCGGAATGCTCTTCCCTGCACCCCAACCTCCGTCGACTTCCAACACTGTCCCTGTCACCCAGTCACAGTCCAAGAGATATGCAACGGCCTTTGCAGTCTGATCCGGCGTTCCGAATCGTTCCACAGGATACTGGCCCGGGACTGCTTCTATGATTTTTCCAAAAGCTGCATCGATTTTCGCCGTCTCGCCGATATCATTGACCATTCCCGTGGGTATGAGACCTGGTGCAATAGCATTGATGTAGATGTTTTGATTAGCGACCTCCAATGCAGCCGAGCGAGTGAGGCCGACAATGGCATGTTTGCTTGCGGAATAGTTGGCCCCCCAGGGACACGCATGAAGACCGAATATGGACGTGAGGTTGATGATGTGGCCTCCAGGAGGGTCCTGCTTCAGCATCGCTCTCATCTGCTCTTGCATGCTGATGAATACGGCCGTCAGATTGATCTGAATGGTGGAGTTGAAGTCTTCCAGCTTCATGTTGACGAGCGCAGAGGATCCGACGACAACGCCAGCGCTGTTGACTGGGGGATTGATGAGCTAGATGGCCTTGAGAGTATTGTCAAGCCGGTACTCACCGGCTGCATCGATTCGGCCATATTTGTCGACAATCGACTTGTGCAACTGGCGGATGTCCGATTCTGAGGTAATATCGCACGCAAGAAAGACCGCCTCGCCGCCTTTAGACTTAATGAAATCGACGACCTCCTCTCCCTTGGTTTTGTTGCGACCAGACACGACGACAGTATACCCTTTGGTCGCCACCAGCTCAGCGGCAGCCTTGCCTAAGCCGCCAGTCCCGCCCATGATTAGACAGATTTTCGCCATTCTTTCCACTGGGTCGATTTCAATGCAAGTGCGAGAAGAGGAGCATGTTGTCTTTAAGTAAGACATGCAGGTTCCATGTCAACTACAGGTGGGGCTTACAGACAGCAAACTGAATCGGAACATCTTTTCCCACCGATGTGGAGCTACATAAGCACCAACTGATTGTAATCGCTTGGCCAAACCGGGTCTTCGAGTGTTAGTGCTTTCCGATGTAGTAGAGCCCAGTTCCTAAGATAGTGTCGAACGTACCTTGCTGCAGCCCTAGCTGACGTTGCAGAAGGATTATTTTTGCGAGTTCCTGTCATCTGCCAAGATGGACGGTCAAACAGAGTAAGGATACCGGAAAGATCAGTGGATATAATTCATCTGTGCACCCAGCTTTTCGGATTCTGCGATGTGCGTCATGCCGGACGACAGAGTTGAAGTTTGCGAGGCGGGGGAACAGGGACCAGGAAGCCAGAAATGTTCCTCCAGCGTCGACCAAATGCTCCTTCCGGTAAGCTGAGCATGGTAGAGCTATGCGTGATGTGAATGTCAGCCTTGGCAAGAGATCATGTCCAGCTCGATCGAGAACATGGCTAGCAACCCGAGTAATCTGCTTCCGGCAACTACCACGAACCAGCTATGAGATCTCATTCCACCAGCATGATAGCCGCATTATCGACCTAAAAGCGCCGTGGAATGGATCGAAGACATTGTTAGTCTACGGGGCCGTCGTTGAGCCACCACGTCCGGAGCGACCAGTGAATTTGTTGAGACTTCTCAATATTTCTCGGCCAGAATGTCAAAGTCCATTGGCGGTAAGTCGAGCAGATGTCGCCGAGACAGGTATCATGATGAGGCAATGGAGGTTTTAAGTCACAAGCTGATTCTCGATGCGGCGATGATGCAGCTCTGGTGTTTCGAGGACGTGTTGGTGTGAGGGAGCTGGAAGAGAAATGAACGCGGCCTGGACTTGCCGCATTCAGGATGCCGGCTCATTCACTTACTCAGCACCGCCACCGTTCTGAAAACTACGCCCATGCAATTGGCTTGGCAGCTGAACAGCAGCGTGAAACTTTCTCGTTTAGACACCCGTTACAACGTCGTCGACTTGATTGTCTGTGAACCACCCTCAATGGCCATCACGAAGATTCTTGCGGCGACAAAAGACTTGAACGGGAATCACTTCCACCGCCATTCGCCATGACGGTGCCGCTGGTGAGGAAGAGAGCCCGCCGACCGAAAGTTCGCACAGGTTGCCGTACGTGCAGAGCTAGACATGTCAAATGTGGCGAGGAGAAACCAGTCTGCTGGAACTGTGAGTTCGCTGGAAGGGAATGTGCTGGCTACGATGTCGTGAAGCCACCAGTGCGACCAAGGCTGCCCCTTCTCCAGTCGCAAGGAGACCACCCTTCAGCAGCCTTACTTTCGGTCCTGACATATTGCCTGCCTGTGTTGCCCGGAGGAATTCGATCGAGAGACGGCTATGCTTTGGATTACTTCTTGCAATGCGCCTTGCAAGACTTACCTGGAAGCAGCTGGACTCTGTCGTGGGATCGCTTGATCTTGCCGTATTGGCGATCTGAACCCGAGATTCTGTACGCTGTCATGGCTATTGGATCGCTGCAGCAAGCGGCCGATGTCAACGATGGCACAAATGCCTCGTTTCATCCAGATCAGCTCACGACTGCACTGTCTCAGTATGGCAGAGCAGCGACCATGGTACGAACAGCCATCGAGAAACACGGGCAGAGCGAAGCTGGCTTCGATGTGGAGAGTATCCTGACAGCCTGCCTGATGCTCTTCTGTTTCGAAGTGCTACACGGACAAGATGAACATGCGGCAATGCATCTTCGCAGTGGCCTGAAGATTCTCTACGAGCACACCGGTCCTCCCAAGGGCAAGACCCTGCAGGTTTCACATCACCGACCGATTGAAGTCCAGATCTCTGCCCGCTCTCGCCTCGAGCTCTTGACCCACACATTCGTGAGACTGGACTCCGACATGTCCCAGCTTTCTGATCGCGACTCTTTCCTCTCACCGGTCTCTGGCGCTCCAGTTCCCGCCTCGTTCGATTCTCTCGATGAAGCAATGGTCCACGTCGATGTACTCCAAAGTCGGGTTTGCGATGTTGGCTGTCAACTGGACGAGTTAGCCAAGGCAGAGCTTTCAACGACGTATCCAGATTTCGACAATGTTGATGAGGATCTCAAGGACGTGCTGGTCCTGGCCGCTTCCCGCAGAGTGTCGACTCAAGGCTGCCCAGGTCTCTCGTTTCGTATGGAAGAGACAAAGGCTGCGATGGGCAACTTGATGGCTGCTCTCGCGACTCTACCTATCAAACCAGGTCAACCCGATCCTCATCGAATGCTCGTTGAGATTCATTTCTTCTTGGTCTGGTTCGACGCTGCCGTGTGGCGCGATGCCGATGAAATGGAGATGGATCGGTTTGACCAGCAGTTCGAATATATCTTGAGTCTTTGTGAGCAATATTTCGCTTCAAACTGTCATCGCCAGCAGCAGCAGGCACATACGAGAAGCGCACGACCCGGTTTTGTCATAGGTACCTCCGTCGGCCAAACAGTCTGCCTGGTGGTGGAGAAGTCCCGCAACTCGCTTCTTCGCCGGCGAGGCCTTAAGCTGCTCTCTGGGATGGACATGCGTGGTGCTTATGATGGCGACTTCCTCGCATCGTTCTATCAACACGTTGTTGAGACCGAAGAGTTGTTAGCGAGAGAGATCCTCGGCCTTCCTGAAGGGCATGTCTTCCGTTTCAGCGAGATCCCAGCGGCGGCGAGGTTCATCGAAGTGGACGTTGCTGGGATAGAAGTCTGCGATGACTTGTACTATAAGAAGGAAGTGGGAAGGATGATATATGCGCGGTTGGTCGATGGTGAGCTGATGGGCGGAGATTACCTGTTTCCTGTGATGAGGCCTTTTGTGGTGGATTAAGTACGAGTAGGCTAACATTGCGTCGTGATCAAATATATATACCCTTATTGCCCTTGGCCGAAACGATGACCTGGGCAAGATCGTATCGAGTTACTACCTTCTTCTATGCTTTTCCCATCCCGAGCAAAACTGCAACGTTCCATCATCAAATTCCCAAACGAGTGACCGGCCTCCCTACTCCTTCTCACGACCCTCTTAGTCTCCATTCCAGCGGAAGTTGGCGATGAGGCCACCAACATTGTCCACCCGCCCGGTGTACAGGCTCACAAGGAAGTTGATGGGCGATCGCTGCTGGTCCCGGAAAGTCATCAAGCTCTCGGTCAAGCTCTCCATGTCTTGAGGCTGGATGTCCTGGATGACGCCCTGTTGCATGTCGAGCGAGATTGTCACGTCGTCAATGTCATCTCCGGTGTACGGCGTGTAGCTTGAGACTGATGTCTGTCCGCTGGGGTTCTGGTAAGCGGCGTTGAACTGGGCCATAAAGTCGTTCTCCATCGTTTGCTCATCGCCGCCACCCACTGTCTCTTCTACAGCGCTGGAAGTTGTCACGACGAAGAAGTAGTCCGCGCCCGATGGGATGTTGGGGCACTGGTAGGCATCGCCGTCGACTCGCTTGTCAATGTCCATACGGGCGCGCAGCATCTTTGCCTTCCGCTTCTCAGAGACGGCACGCTTGGCCTCGTCGATGTTGGCCGAGCGCTTTGCGCTCTGCGTACCAATGCTCATGATGCTGGTGATGCCATCGCCGACGGGGGAGCAGCCTCCTGAGATCGTGATTTGACATTCGTACTGGTGGCAGCTGCCACCGCTGTAGATGTTGTACACGATGTCGTCGTCCTTGGTGAGGACGTAGCTCTGAGCCTGGCCGATTTCGATGCAGCTACCGGGCTCAAGGGGCGTGACGGTGTCCAAGACTGCGTTGGTACAAGTCTCGCCGAGGTAGAGGGAGAGTTTGTCTGCTGAGACGATGCCGGGGGCCATGGCAGTGAGAAGGATGGAGGAGATCATGATGGATGTCTTGAGTTGTGGGTTCTGATGTAATTTTGAAGCTGCTGTGAATGGTGGAAGTGTGTTGTTGATGCTGTTGGCAATACTTGACTGGCGAGGCGTCTTTATATGTCGTCTGCTGGTCTCGATGCCTTTTTACCATGACGTTTATTCATCTCTGTTCGGTGGTCAGGCCTTCAACGGATCCATCGAGCTGAGCCGTAGAGCCTGTCTCCATCCCTGAGCGTGCTGGCCAAGTGCAATGGCTGAGCTGCGGGTTTCACGTTCTAAGAGAACGAAGGAGTTAGCTATGTTGGTCAAAGATGAAGCTGGACATTCCCTGCCGCTGCAAGCCTGAAGCTGAAGACAGACAGCCTGTGCAACGTTGCAACTGCAGCCTCTCTAGTGTTGCACATGCCACATGTCACCGCTACCAGGCATACATGACATATCGGAAGAATTTGTTCAGTGCGATCAGCCTTACTCCGCCATAGCCCTAAATGCACTATTCAACATAGCGACGTGAGACCATGTAAGAAGACGAAGGCGCTACTTCTCAGCTGGTTGGGTTCTTCATTGACCGGTCGAAAAGATGGAGCGACTCAACTCCAGCTTTGGCAAGGCCATGGGGTGATCGATTCGTAGTCTACCCAGTATAGCGACAGTCTCCAAAGTACAGCCGCAAAAGCTGGGTATTTCTTCTTGACGGGCAGTGTTGTTGTTGTCTTTTTGGTGACTCCGCAGTGGAGCAAAGTCCTAAATTAAAGGCACCTAGTCGGGGTCCCTGGCTAGGCCGATTCCTTCGCGAATACCACTCTCAAGCATCATGCCACAACGCTCAATTTCAGTGCTTGCTTGGAGGAGACTCGAGGTAAGGTAACAAGAGCGTCCTCTGGCCAAGCGAAGTTTTCGAGTCATTTCCCTTCGGCTGAAGCAGGCGGATTCAGTCTCACACACGTATATGATGGCGAACAGGCCATGGCAGCAACTTGTCCGAGATGATATCTTTCCGACTCCACGATGAACGGCTCTGCATCGCCATTTTACTTGATGTACGATTAATGTACAATCTTGGGAAGAACGTGTCCAGCGCGATCTGGTGTGACAAGATGCATTTGCGTTCTCATATGTTACTACTCGACACAAAAGCCTGTGAGGACAACCGAACATGTTCTGTGGCTGCGCTGAGAGTCGCTCAGTAGGATGTTGGCATTCATCTGCCAAGGACCATATTCCATTGACCAGTCCATTGAGCCCCGGGTGGTCTGAGGAAAGGATCTCATCGACTTAGGAGGAGACCAGTGAATGCGAGCGAGGACGTACAGGTCGTTCGAGTTGTTGCCGGAGCAGAAAAGCGCTCACGAATATACATGCTGCTTTATCTTCGAGAAGGAGAAAACAAGAAGATACGAAAGTGCGAGGCGGCTTAGTAAGGGTGACTAAGTGGCAAACCTTGCGCACGGGAGCGGCACCGCTGTCTCCACCCGACTGAGTCTCACATCCGTCCACTTTGACTCCGACGTCAATCAATTAATCAAATCTTTCATCCGCCCTTCTCCACCTCGTCCATGGACAGCTCCAGCGTCAATGGCAGCGCGAGTGGCGGCAGTCCGCCTGCGCAAAAGCGCCAACGCGGTGAGTCCGGGTAGAAGGCGTACTCGACTCGCAGAACCAGAGATCTAACCGTCTTCTGCACCAGCTAAACAGGCCTGCGAGCCATGTCGCTTGCGCAAAAGGCGCTGCGACTCCAATATGCCCTGTAATATGTGTACCCAGTTCGAGTACAAGTGCTACTATGAGAAACATCCGCGAAAACGAAGCAAATTGGTCGAGCAGCATGCGATTGCCGACGGCGCCACCGGATCCTCGCACAGTCCAGAGATGATCAAGTCAGAAAACAACGGCAACGGCACTCAACCCACGGTCGAAGACATCTCCAAAATGCGATCCATGGAGGCAAATTCCGGTATTGCGTTCACGAGGCTGCTGGGTATGCGACTGGATCCGAGTTCTGGGCCGAAACTCTTCACCTTTGGCTGGAATCTGGGGAGCAACTCGTACATACCTCCGGCTTCGACACCGATCACAGATATCTTGAATCAGGACCAGATGTATTCACTGGCGAGGCTGCACTTCGCGAACGTTCACCCTCTATATGGTTTCCTGGACAAAGACCGCACCATGGAAGCGATTTCGTTGCGATGGTCGCGGCCGGAGGCGTGCGACATGCCCGATCATTTACTATGTGGCGTGGCTACGCTGGGGATTCTCTTCTCGGAAGGCGCTCTGACACCAGTACTGCCAGCGCTGGTAGATTCGCAGAAGAAGACGTTGGAGAGCACGAGTACAATGCAGCCGCCGTGCTTGGCAGATGTGCAGTCTTGGGTGGTACGATGTCTCTATCTACGGTCTACAGATCATCCCCATGCTACTTGGATCGCCAGCTGTACCATGATGCATCTTGTCGAAGCGGTCGGGCTGCAGCTCGAAGTCAGCAGTTCCGTGTTGCACCCTGCCGCCAACGACGCTGAGAACGATCCCGAGATTCGCCGGCGTACGTTCTGGGTGGCGAGGATGCTCAATTCGTGGGTGAGCTTTGAGTATGGACGAACGAGGGTGGCCCTGCGAGGGATTACAGCGCAGCTACCCACGCCGAAAGAAGGCGACTACACAGCAGATTACGTCGATCTCTACAGCATCTCGTGTTGCCTTGATCCAGAGACTTCTGACAAGGCGGGGCAATGGGAAGAGTTCCTCGAGAAGTTGGACGCATATCAGCCCCAACACGATGGAATTGCGCTCTCGAAAGCGAATCTGGGGCTCTGCGGGTACCGACGATTGCGCCTTGCGAACCCCAACTTATCCGGCGACATCATCAACAAAATCATCAACATTGGTCTGAGAGGGCTCGAAGCTGCAAGACGAATGGCTGAGAAAGGGATGCCCTGGTGGCATGTGGCAAATGTCCCATTTCAGACCATCTGTGTCTTCCTCGCCATGGACATTCGAGAATCTCTGTCTCATCTTGCGACGGCGATGCGAACGCTGGAGTTTGTGGTCGAACGATTTCGGACTGTGGCCATGAAGGAGGCTCTGAAGACTGCTCGGTTCCTTGTGCGACTCTCGAAAAAGCGCAAAGATGAAGACTCCGAAGTGCTGGGCCTGAGTTTGAAGAAGGACCAGCCCGCGGAAGACCCCCAGCCCGAAAACCTCAAAGCTGCGACAACGCCATCGTTACCTCAACCACGGCTCAACGGCCTTAGTGGGCTCGGTGGTGCGAGCGGTAATAGCAACACAGTGGGTATGGAGGAAACACCCATGACGGCGAGCAGCAGCGAGGACTGGAACCTCGACGTCTTGAACGATTCGCAGTTTGATTGGAATTACTTCCTCACCCACGACATGCCGGCGTTTAATACTTTCGCACCGGATGGGACCATGTAGCTGATTGACTTGGGGAAGACGGGGTTTGTACAAAGGAGTTGGGGCACTTAGGAGATACCACTATCGAATTTCATCTTCATTTTAAAGCTTCTTGAGTAGTCCTCTGCGAGAGTACGTCAATCCTCATTCCATTGCCAAGACTTTGAAGGCAAGATCACAAACGAGATACGGCTCCAGCGAATGGTTGTCCTTTGGGAATCATGACAAACCGAAGTAGCAAGGCCATCTGAATTCCATCAGAGACGAACAGAAAGTGTTGTTGATCACCTACTCAATTCATCTTCCGCAATCCTTCCCCAGCCGCTTTCCGCTCCGTGATGCCTCCACAGCCGCATCGACTCTGTTTTGGGAAGTTGCCATATAACCAACGGCAAGTCCCAAAGAGCCTGACTAGGCAAGTTTTTGGCGTTAATATCGATGTGAGCCGCGTATTAGATGTCCATGCACGGCAGAAGATATGCCTGGAAAGAGCATGCTACAATATGGACTGGTGATTGCGCAGGTCAGGCAATACAGGGCTATCGCTCAGGGCATTGAGCAGAATCACAACATCTCGACTGCAGCACCAGCTTCAAACTGCGAGGTCCCAGAACCAGCCTCAGACATCGAGAAGGGGAGCGCCAAATCAAGAGAGGAAGACGAAGGACAAGGACAAGGACAAGACCACACCGAACCTCTTCCTCTGTCCTGGACACCCAACGATCCTCACAATCCTCAGAATTGGTCATACACCCGCAAATGGATGTACACATTCATAGTGTGCATGACCAACTTCATCACTTCGTGCGTATGCCACCCACTCCAAAATCACCATTATACTCAAAAGTGTATAGTGGAGCAGCCTCCTTCGACACCGAAGTCGTGCCCCAAGCAATGCAGACCTACAACCTCCACGGAACATCCGGCGAACAAGTGGCTCTGCTGGCGACGACGCTGTATATGGTGATGTTCGGATTGGGGACACCCATTGCGGCGCCGTTGAGTGAGACGTTTGGACGGTATGTGGTAACCCTTCAATCCACTCTTTCAAAGATGTGCTGATTGATGCATGAGAGTAGAAATCCAGTCTACATTTTCTCGCTCGTGGGGATGGCCTGCTTCTCGCTCGGCAGTGCTGCCGCTCCAAATGCACAGACGTGGATCGTCTGTCGAGCATTCATGGGGTTTTTCGGTAGTCCTCCGGCGGTTACATTCGGGGGGACGTCTGCCGACATGTGGTATGTCGGACAACCCGTTATCATGTTCTCGTTCAAGCTGATGCTGGTGCTTCTCCAGGTCTCCAAAAGAGCGAACGTACATCTTCCCGGTGCTGTCTTCCTTTGTCTTCCTCGGCCCATTCATTTCGCCCACAGTCGCCGACTTCATTGCCACGAGCCCGTTGGTCGATTGGCATTGGACGAGCTGGTTGACGGCGATCTTGGCAGGTGCTTTGGCGGTGACGATTGCAGTGTTCGTGCCGGAGACGTGCAGTCCTGTTTTACTTGCCTATCGAGCGCAATGTGTCCGTCGAGGCAGTGGTCAGCAAAAGGGCTCTCCGGGGAGTGTGAAAAGTGAGCCCAAGCACCCTCCGTGGTTTCCTCACTAACACCCATTAGCATCATCATTGTTAACAAAACTCCGCAACTCAATGCTCACTCCGTGGACTCTCCTCATCACAGAACCGATGCTCACCCTCTTCACCCTCTACCTCTCCATCATCTACAGCGTACTCTTCGGTCTCCTCCCCGGCTTCACCTACATCTTCGGCAAAGACGGGTACTACAACTTCTCGCAAACCGGCGTCGGCCTCTGCTTCCTCGCCATCGATGTTGGCTTTCTTGCCGCTCTGCCCATCGTATTCTGGGTGTACCCGAGGTATTTGAAAAAGCTGAAGGAGGGTGGCGGGAAGGTTGCCCCTGAGGAGAGGCTTTGGTATGCGATTGTAAGTCAGGATATTCTGTGTGAAGATGTGCCACGCTGAGTGCTGATTCTCATAGATCGGAGGCCCTCTTCTTCCCATCAGCATCTTCTGGCTCGCCTGGACGCCACCCTCTGGTGTCTCTTTCTGGTGTCCCCTCGTTGCCAGTGGGGTGTTCGGCATCGCCAGCCTGACCATCTTCATCTCCATCTATCAGTACACTATCGATGCTTACGAGCGGGTGTGTGCCAGCGCGCTGGTGGGCATGACTATTTCGAGGTATATTGTTGGAGGTACTCCGCCGTTCTCCCTCTGACTTACCGTGGTATGCTAATGAAAGAGTTAGCGATGATGGTCCATGCCGCTATCCCGATGATTCAGCACATGGGACTTCCCAAAGCCTTGACGGTCTGGGGTGCCCTCGCGGCTGTGATGGCACCTGTACCAATGCTGTTTTACTGGAAGGGGCATGTCTTCCGCGCGATGAGCAAGAGGGCGACGGATATGGGGGCATAGACAGTCGGGAGACATTTGATGTCATTCCATGCATTATTGCGGTATCTCCATCCTGTCGGTCTGCGGGATATGGGGGTATCATCAAGGTGTGCCACTGCTCACTCGCAATCCTTTCACTTGGCAGCCTCCTCTTGCGCCGTCATCCTCGTCTTGTACTCTCGCGGACTCTCGGAACTCTCCTTCCTGCCCATCAGCTTGCCCAGCAGCCCCGGCTTCTGCCACATGCCAATCCTCTTCCTCTTCGCCTCTTCCTCAGCTTGCGCATACGCCTCCTTCTTGCCGCCAAACTCGCTCCCAAACTTGGCCTCGTACACCGTCGCCAACCCCCGCTTGATCATCTCCAGCCCCACATCCGTCTTCCACACCAGCCACTTCCTCCTGTACACCGTACACACCACCCGCTCGTACTGATCCCGTCGCCACGGCCGCACCCGCACATACCTGTGCAGCACCGCGCCCCGCAACCACTCCAGCGCCTCCCTGCCGAACGGCTGCTCGGGTCTCCCGAAATGGGCCATCTCAGGCGCATCCACCCCCGCCAGCCGGACATGCAGCGTCTTGCCCTTGAGCTCCTTCCCCTTACTAATCCCTCTCATCCAGCCCCAGCCCGTCCATCTCCCGCCCGGCGTGTGGAAGAAGTGGAAGTTGTCGCCGTCGCCGACGCGCGTGACGTAGCCGTACAGCGACCGGGTGCGGAAATGGGTCGGTTTGAGGTGCGCGATGGTGGGGATTCGGCGGAGGCGGGTCTTGTAGATGCGGATCAGGCCGAGCGCGGTGCCGGTGGTGACGAGGGAGAAGGCGACGGTCTGGGAGGGCGTGAATCTGGACGGACTGCTGCTGGTGGTGATCGGGGTTGATGGCGGCGAGTGGGTCTCATTTTGGCGTGTTTGCTGCTTGTCATCGGGCGGCGGGTCGGCTTTGGCCCAGAAGCGCCATGGCATCTTCCATCTATGCGCTGGGGGAGGCAGATGTTGAGCAGCTGGTGCAGGGGAGCGAAGTTGATGAGCGTCAATCAAATATTGACGACGCAAAAGCGGACGCTCCCGAAGCTAAATCGACATCACCTCCTCGGCCGCCGGAGATAACAGCGCCGTGCTCCAGCGACGATCTTCCATTGCAAAACACACTCGATACATCTTTCTTCATCAAGTTAATACACTAAACCATGTATGTTGACTCGAAGACCGGCCTCAGGCGTAAGCCCAATTAGTGTTGAGAGCCATGAGGGCCGGATCCCAGCTGAGCTGAGGCCAGATATCCATGGAATCCGCCATAAAGTCCGCCTCCGCGGCAATGTTAGGGTCCATGGAAGGCTCGAAGGACATACCATCATTTTGATGTGATCCAGTTGCGCCAGACGTACCAGGCACTTCGACACTGCCGTTGAGATTCTGGTGGCTGGCGATCAGGCGGTTTTCTTCTGTCCGTGAGCGGAACGGCGTCTCGGGCTCGGTCCAGTTCTGTGATGGGGACCAGAAATGACTCCAGGACCGCTGTTGAACACATGCACCAGACGCATGATTTCGGGAAGAGCAAGATTCTGGAGAGGGTCATTGAGTACCATGCTCGCAAGCCAGTGGTTGAAAGCGAAAAGCCGAGTGTGTTGTTGGAGTGAGAATGGTTGGCTGGGTGCAGTATTGCCATTGGACTGCAGGTCACGGCGTGCCATGCCTACGGCGTATTCAGGATTGGTGAGTTCAAGAGTGTATTGGGTGGTATGATGATGGCTCGCTTCAGGCTCATCGTTTCCAAGATTTCCATCCGTCGCTGCTTGCGGATCTCGGAATTGACTTGGCGGGACTGGACTCGTGGCGGCCGTTGTGTTCGTGAGGTGGGAATGGATCTGGCGCTGAAGTTCCCCGACTTGTTCTGTCAGTCGATTGACTTGTTCAGTCTGGCCAGCAGCGGCGCGACGGCGAGCTCTCCGTTTCTGCGTGTAGACGCATGCCAGCGCCTGGTCCGCGTCGCAATGACTGCAAGGCTGTTGTCCGTTGCATCGGATTTTACGGCGTCGGCATTCATCACTGCTGCTTGTCAGTGCCACGGTAAGGAGAGCCGGACCTGCCATTGAGGTTACGCACCAAGCCTCCGCCACATATCGAGCACGCGTACTGCGTGGGCGTTCCGATGACATTCTGAGAATGCTGGCTTGAGAGAGGACGGAAAGAAGCAGGGAGGACGGAGAGAGATGGGACAATTCCGGATCCCACGTGCATAAGGTTTGACAGGAGGTTTCTTATTAGTAATCTCCCCTTCGTATCCAGCGGTCATTGTGAGACAGGACTACTGATCTGTGGCCAGACACCGACAAAGGAATTTACTAGTAGTGATAAGACACTTTCTCTGTGATTAAGTGTAAGACTAAAGCAAACATGTCAGTGTGTACGATTTATGTGCGTATGTATAACCATCTAGTTTAGCTAAAGCTCAACAACGAGTTTCTCCGCCTTCACGCCAGCCTTGTACTGTCCATGTGCCTTGGAGATTGCCTCCAGACCTGTGCCAACGACGTTTGGCTTAGGGAGACACTGGATAACACCTTTCTCCAAGGCAGGCGTAACAAAGTCTTTCCAGACCGGATCCGCGGCGGGATCGACCGCGAAGATCATGCCTGTTGTCACATTTCCGGGCACTTCGCTTGGTGGCGGATGCGAGCAGACGAGGTGTCCGCCATTGAGCTTCTCCAGAATTTTGAGATCATTGGCGTACGTCTCTTCGTTGGACGGTGCGTCGAAGATGCCGACAAAGGTGTTCCCCTTAGCCTTGACCGCTTGAACGACTTTGTCGGTGAAGTCGGCGTCCTTGTAATCGATTGTCTCGCTCGCACCGGCCTGCTTGCTCAACTGGGCACTTTCCTTGCTCCCAATGGCAATGACATCGACGCCGGCAGCCCGGGCAAGCTGAGTCGTCATGAAGCCGATGGCCGTGTTGCCACCGTACACGACTAGCGTCTTCCCAATCGAACGGGGTTTTGCCTCCAGCGATGCAGATGGGAGGCCAAGAGCGCCTTTCTGGACTCCCGGCATGATCGTGGTGGCTTCTTTGATGTTCAGCGCACAGACAGCAGACTCTAATGCGGTGGGAATAACAACGGCGTCCTTGAATGGCACATTTTCTGGGATCAGCGCTGCCTTGTTCTCCAGGACGGCTGTGTACAGAGCATAGGCCCCATCTTGCTCGCGGCCGTGGGTCAGGAGCACTGTGTGTCTGTAAGGCGTTGTTAGCTTTGGGCCACCAAAATCGCTACTGTTGACTGACCCAACCACGCGATCCCCTTTCTTGAACCGTTGCACCCCAGGGCCGACTTGATACACCTCGCCCGCAACGTCACAGCCCAAGACCACCGGCCACCTCTGGACAAAGTGGCCCTCTCCTGCCATGTAGACATCGAGAGGATTGATGGAAATCGCGACATTCTTCACAATAATCTCGCCTTGGCCAGCTTCCGGAAGCGGTGCAGTGTTGACTTGGAGATCTTGGCCAGCCTTGTGGAGCCACGCGGCTTTGTTCTTAGGAGTCGACATTTTGTATGGTCTTTTGTGTAGAAAGATTCTTGACTTGAAAGGTTTGAGAGCTTGCATGGGGATCGCTCTAAATATGAGTTGGAATTCGGTCTGCGCCAACCCCTGCAGCGAGACCGGCGTATATGGCTGCAATGCAGATTTCGATCAAAGCCTGTAAGAGTCTATTGCCATGCTTTGTAAACACGAAATGGATGAATGAGCTGTCTGCAATCGAGAACGTACTTTCCGAGGGCCAATCTCCGGCGGAATCGCTCAGCCTTGCGTCAAGACCTTGACAAAACACTTGCTGCTTTGAAACCCAACACATGAGGCTGAAGGTAGCCTCGAACCAGTTCGTTAGCCATTTATGGAAATACGCTCAGCTCGGGTTTGTAACCGCGGAGTTAGCATGTGCTTGTCCATGATTGATGGGTTTCTCAGTGTTTTAGCCGTCGGAACTACGGTCGCCTTGATTCCGCGACCAACATCTTTGAAGCTTATTGACCTCTCATCCCCATTAGACTGCAGTGCGTCTCCTTTCTTGCAATTTTCTTGGTTGCGGGTCTTCATTTCGAAGAACACTATTCGCCTAAGCCATCCATTCTCTTCGCGCGTCGTCAAGATCCTCGCCGCTAACCCAAACCTTTCGAATGTTGCGAGTCGCAGAGATATTGTGTATTGGGTTGCCTTTCACCAACACAAGGTCCGCCCTTCTTCCAAACTCCACAACGCCACGATCATGTAGACCCCAAATGTCGGCTGGCCGAGCGGTCGCCCCTCTCAAAACTTCGACTGGCGGAAGCCCAGCTTCGACAAGAAGTTCCATCTCATCGTGTATCGAAATTCCAAACTTGGGCTTCGCAGGCGCTCCCACCTGGTCATTGGCGTCTGTTCCCACAAGGACTTCGACTTCAGCGTGGTAGAGTCTGGAAGTGGACAGCCGAGATGCCGTGTAATTGAGTTTGGGGGTGGCTTGCGTCGTCTTGAGCATCATGATGAGGGTCGGTGTGGAAATGATCCTCTTTTGAAGGAATTGTCGGGTGCTGGTTTCGTCCAAAGGTCTGTCCATTGGCACATGGTGTGCCTGACTGACGTTGGCGACGAGGGCCTGCTGGACACAGCCGTAGTCGGCCGCATGGCAGACGACAGCCTTGCCTTTTGCATGGGCGGCGGCCGCAGTAGCTGATAGATGTCTTGACTCAGATCTGGTGTTTCCGCGATCATCTTGATAAAGTCCGCCCCATTCTCAATCTGATCGTCAACCCAGCTAGGTGATTGTGAGGCGTTTGCCATGGTCGTTGAAGAATTGAGACCCAACAACCGGCCATGAATGCTTCTTGCTGCTGCGGCCGGGGTACTGCCGAGCAAGACGTCGGTCAGACCCTTGTGATTGCGCAAGGAATCGCATATCAAAGGTTCAGGGCACGACATGACCATGGCTGTAGTGGCGCCAAACTCCGTAGGAGACTGCAAGTGGGTGATGTTGGACGGGTGGCTATGCGAGTCGATGAGCCCAGGCATGAACGTGTGTCCAGACCCATCGATTTGAATCGCGCCTGTTAGATCGTCTCCGATTCGACCGTTCTCGATGACGACCGTCTGAGCAGGTCGCATCGTCCATCCATCAAAGACGCCGACATTGGTAATGGCAACTTTGTTCCAGGTGGATGGCCGTTTGTTGTTCTGGTCGCGAAGTGCGAGGTTGTGACTCAAGACAACGTCAAGATCTGGGGCGGTGTAATCGTGGTGTGCATTGTCAAATCCGCAAGAACGGGACTGATGAATGGCAGATAAGAGAAGGATGAGCAGCCACATCATGTTGTACGAGGGGTTGGCAATAAAGTGAATCGCCAGAAAATCGCAACGGGAGCAAATCAGGAGCATATATGCAGCCCGTGAAGTTTGAAACATCCCTTGCACTGCCCGTGGCCTAGAAAAGACCACCTGTGCGACAGCCCCTGAACGCGCACGTTGCAATTTCAGCGCTTCAATGTCAACCTGTAGTCTCTCGGCCATCTACTGTATCAACTGACATTTGTGCAATGCTGAAGTACCCTAGCGATGCGACGCGCGTATTACTAGACGATGTTGACGTGGTTCTCGCAAGTGTTGAGTCGAAAAGCACATAGGCAGGAAGCTTCCCATCCCATGAGGAGGAGAGTCGTGTGAGTAATCGAAAATCTGTAGAAACAATTAGAAGCCATGCTGGTGGTGGGATTCTAGGGAATTGGCAGGGGTAGGCAAGCAGCGAGCAAGACTTTGCGTGAAGACAAGGTTATGTCAATCGTATCATGAAGCCAACGCCTAATTTTGTACCACCAGTACTCGGAGGAGCGACCTGATTACAGGGGCCAGCAGAGCGAGTAGTCGCTGAACGCTTCAAAAGCATAGACACCAAAGCTACCAGTCCGAGACCTTTCCCCAGCACCGACATGCCACGACAGACCTCGGGCGTGTCGCCTGCAATCCCCTTAGAGCCCTGAGAGTCGATGCATTATTGGGAAAACGAGGTACAGGATCACGATATCCTGTCGCCTCGTCATAGTCTCATGCTTAGTTCAGCCCTCGGAAAGGGCTGGGCTGAGTTTCCGCGGATCGATTTCTCATCGAGCGACCCTGAATTCTGGAACGGTAGGGAGGCAGGCAGTCGACAATGATATCAAAGACACATGCAGGTTGTATTGCGCGTTGTTAGTACCACTTTCAGCAAACGAACCGCAGTGACTTTGAGAATGACCCATCAAGCGGCCTGGATCAAGGCTCCGGGTGATCAGCTCGAGATTGGGCCTAAGCCTACACCCACTCCGGAGGCGCATGAGCTTCTGATTCGAGTCAATCGAATTGCCCTCAATCCGATCGACGCAAAGCTTCAAAAACATCAGCTGTTTCCATACCCATACCCCAACATTCTTGGAAGGTCGTTCGCTGGTACGGTTGAACGCGTTGGATCTGATGTAAAAGGCTTCACAACAGGAGACCGAGTTGCATGTCTGCGAACGTACAAACAGCTGGAAGATCACCGCTACGGGGCTTTCCAGCAACTTGCCGTGAGCACCCCTGATGCCACCGTGAAGCTCGACGAGACAGCCTCGTTGGCAGGGGCGGCATCATTGATACTCAATGCAGTGACCATCACGTCCACATTGTCCATCTATATGGACCTCGACCGACCACATTTCTCCAGCCACGGCCAGAGAAGATACTTGTATATGGTGGATCGAGCTCCGCCGGTGGGCTCGCAATCCAATATGCAGCGCGGGCAGGCTACCAAGTCATCACCACGTCCTCGCCAGCCAACCGCGCATTCGTTACAGCTCTAGAGCCTGCGCAAATCATCGACCACACAGCTAGTCCAGACGCTGTCTTGGCCGAGCTGCAGTCACACGGGCCGTACGATACGATTCTCGACACTATCGGTCTGCCAGCCGTCACGATGTTGATAGTTCGATACCTGAAGTCAAGAGGAGGAGGAAAGTACCACACCTTGACGCCATTGATGGACGAGGAGAAGCCCTTGATACCGGACAACGTCGAGCGAGTATACGCTCCGTATGGAGCAGCGTTGAGTCAGCCGGACCATGCAGATCTCAAGAAATGGCTTTTCGAAGAGTACATCCCGAAAGGTCTGTCGACAGGTGTACTCGTGCCGAACCCTGAGCAGCTTCTCAAGGGCGGTATTTCACAAACGCAACATGGCCTGGATATGCTGTATGAGGAGCGGCTTAGTGGACGGAAGCTTGTCGTAGATCCTTGGGAATAAGAACAAACATCCCCCACAAACTATCACGGTGACCTACGATATGTAGTCGGAACATCATGATAGTATTCTTGCTTCGAAATCTTGATTTTGGAGACTTGCACACGAGCCTGCGCGTCAGTGGCCTACACTTGTTCTTTGGGAGATGCACAGAGATATCTTCTTAAAAGGAGAAGCGATTGAATTATTCATGATACAGAACTTTCAATTGATTCCGCCAAGTAATAGCTTAACCGTTGTCCTATAGCCTGCAAAGATTTTTCCTTGACCCATCTGCGAACGCTTATTAGCAGGCTCCCTATTTCTCCAAAGATTTGACTTACTTCTGATACGGGTCAGTTAGATCGCCACGCAGTTTCATCAGTCGTTAGTCCACAGCCTAGAATATCTCAAGATTCCCTTCACGCACCGCAAAGCCGTGGCTGATTTTGGAGAACAGTTGGACGTGGAATGTTTTGTCACAGTCTTCCATAATCTTCACAACTTCATTGCGCTGATCGCGTTTGAACACTGCATCTTTCTGTGCGAGTGACATCAATAGTGGCTCTTGTGAAAGAATGTCAGCTTGATGGAGGCAACAGCTAGAACGTCATGAATATACTTGTCAGATCAGAAAAGTTTGCGTCATTGAGATTGGCATGATGGGCGAAAGCGCGGGCGACACAGATGCCTCTCTCAGAGAGTTGATCGCAAACAAAAGGTGCTCCCCAGCTTGTTGAAGGTCAGCAACGTTGAAGCGATTCGATAGATATAGCATTCTGACGACCAAACATACCAGTAACCGAAGCAAGCGAACTTAGCCTGACCTTTCCGGCCATACTTGGAATGAACGGTTTTCATCCATTTTGGAGTAATCTCTATGGAAACGGCATCTTGAGAGGGATTGTCAGTCTGCGTGCTTAACGTCGTTGGTAGCAGAGAGAATCAAACATGGTCCTGTTGCCATTTCCAAGGGTCGAACTTGGGGTCTTCGAATGGCTTCGACGAAGACTTTCAGACTGGATCCTACGCGGAGTTTGATGAGCGAGAGTGCATGCGTATAGAAGGCGTTCATAGCTCACTCCTTTGAAATAATCGATCCCCAGGACCAGGCACTCCGAAAGCTCAGCCATAACATCCATGATGAGAAAGGCGTTGTTATAAAAGCCGTTGACGTCGGGAGAGTAAATTATTATATTTCCACTGTCTTTGCCATCCCCTGGCTTGGCAATATAGGAGTCGACACCTTCGATCGACAAGATCTCGCCCTTGGGCTGGCCCTCATGAATGGAGCCGTTCAAGCAGCAAAGGCTCGAAGTCGGCTTGGCAAGAACTTGTGCGTCTGTACTCATCTTGAAATTCAAGGGTTCATTGACGGCGAATTACTGTGCCTACGGTAGCTGGAGATGCTTTTCAACGGCAGTATCGGACAGATTGGTCACCTCGGTCTCTGGGCGGATTGTTACGACCGTGAGCTATGCCTGATCGTAATGTCAACGGAAAGGTCTTCCTTATGTCCAGAAGAGATGTGCTGACAATCGGTTCAAGCGCCTCAAAGCATGGTCAGGCTGTGCGGAACGGAACGGAATGAAAAGGATTCCGTCTGAACGCCACGAGCAAATTTCCAGCTGGGAAGTTGGGCCTGATGAATTGCCAAGAGTATCGGGACGAAGTGCATCAACTTGTTTCGTCTTTTGGCGTAATGGAGGGCGTTGGTAAAATCTTTCCGTTCCCCGTAAGCAGTTCAAGCTCTTATTTGACGATCGCACAATGAACCTCTTTTACCTACCTTCCGCAGTCCTGCGGTCTCTGGCAGATTTTGATGGAGTCTGCGTTGTTCTTGGCATTGCTTTGATCTCCTTTAGATTGAAAGAAAAGTTATTGACGACTCGGCTTCACAGTCTGCATCCCCCCAAGGTGGGTTCCGGATCTTCTCCTGCATCGAACAGCGTACGGTCCAAAACTCTCATATGCATCTCCTAAATACCTGCGGGCATCTGCGACAAATCCTGCTGGTATTTCCTATCTGTACCCTTCGGACATCACGACACTAACACTGATGTATATAGAAGGCGTGGCAAAGGCCGAGCGGAAGCAGAAGCAATTAGTTGTGAAGCCATGAATCTCGAAGACGCCGCTTGCCACATGTGTGCTCCGGCAGTGGCATTACGTGATCGCTCGTCAATGTCGCTACATTTGTCAATTGCTTGTACCTGGCAGAAACAATCATTACCCGCTTTCTCAACTCGCAGACCAGATACACGACGTTGTAGCTCATGAATGAAGGAATGACTAAAGGTCAGGTAACATAGTATCTACTCGCGAAACAAATCTTGCGCTCTGCGCCTCTCCATGCCATCTTCACCCCCCCCCCCCCCCCCCCCCCAACCAGCACTGCTCCCTCCCATGCCATGACATCAAGACCGGTCTAAGCGGCTCTGCGGCCCTTAACGCGGCTGTTCCACTGGCCGAACGAAAAGCCACTTGGTGCATTAGCACTCGAGTCCGTGGATGCTGTCCCCGAAGCGGCACCCGTGTTAGTGGTGTTGGCGTTGGCGCTGCCTCCCCAGACGGCAGGTCCGGGCATGGTGTAGCCGGGATCGCTGCCGGTCCAGATGCTGTAGGTGAAGCCTGGGTCGTCGGTGGCATAGAGGCCGGGAATCTTGACCAGCGGGCTGGGAGTTCCGCTGCCACCGCCGCTGATGCGGAGCTGGGCGCACTCCATGTAGAACTGGGCTTTGCCGACATGGTTCTCGTGGATAGCGATGTGTTCAGGCTGGGGAGAGAGATGGGTTAGCACATGCAACAGAGTTTTTGCAATCGTGCGACACTTACGCGAACAAGGTAATCGCCATCAGGAATGTCGGCAGGAATGGCGAACTCAATTCTGTCCTTCTGCCATGTCACCCAGTTCGTGTCGACGTTTGCGGCGCCGTTTGCACCTCCCTCCCACACCTTGAACCAGTCGCCATCGCCGACGTAGCTGCCAACGTCCCCCGGTGCCTTGGACATGTACACGAAACCCGGACCAGGATGCTCAATGAGCTCGTCGAAGGAGAGCTTGAAGCCTATGGTGTCGCCGGCCTTGACGTCGTACGTCTCGGAGAAAGCGCTACCGGCGCCGGCGTTGCATCGAAGGTCTTCAGAATTGATGATGTCGGCGGCGTAGGAGGGCATGTAAGTGTTGGTGTTCTGTCGAATGTAGCTGTAGTCGGAGCCGACGGTCTGGTTGTTTACGATCAACTGTGAGAAGATGTAGTGGGCGTGCACGGCAGGCGCTGCCAGCAGCGCCGCCGCGAGGCCTGAGTTCTTGGAGAACATGATGATAGATGATGGGTTTCGAGATGAAGAAGGCGAAAGCGTGAAGAAATGATCGGAGCAAGAAGCAGAAACGATGGAATATCCAGAGCCTGAGAATGAGTGTGAAGGAAGTGGATGAGATGCTGTGTTGAGAGCCTTGTGGTAAGTTGGATGGCCTATCATATATACGCCTGCGGCAGATGATGCATGCGATGAACGACTGCCTTCTTCCATGCCGCGCTTCGTTAATGAAGTTGAATTCGCCGTAGCACTTGGCGTGTCGTCTTGAAGGGATGCAGGCACACTTCGTTCATGATCATTCCTTGCCGCTTGTGCAAGTGCAGTCGGATTCTAAGGGGCTGTCCATTTGGAACTGCAACAGCGCAAAAGCTAGCTTGTTCAATATAGGATACCGTAGCCCAAACTGCTATTTTGCCTACAGTTTGTCAAACTGCTACATTTCTCTAGCTGCAGTACAACGCCGGCTGCAGTTCCAAATGGACAACCCCTAAGTGTTTTGAATTTGATTGCCCAATTTGTTCCAGACGAGAAAGCGAAGCGAAGCGCTAGCCTCAGAGCTCAGATCACCTCGCTAAGTGTTGTGCAGCGGTTATTAGGCCTTCATAGATGATTGATTACGGGAGCAGGTATCTACAAGGACTGTGAATTCAGAAGATGTGGCCTTCTTGGCACTCACGTGATCCCCAGGCACAACACTCCCCCTCAGCATACAGACAGTTCTTTCTTGAGCTGTCTGATTGCTGTCATACGTGTCTGAGCCATTTATGTGACCTTGTGACCTTATCAGTGACCATATCACAAAGCAAATGACCCTTCAGAATGCTCATGAGCAGGTCAGGCATCACATGGATTGCCACGCAATCTCTTGAACCTTCAGTGTGTTAAGCTGGCAATCACCTGATCTTAAGTTCTGCCCATAAAAGAGTTCTTCTTCTTCCTTGAACTCTCTCTCTTGCACATACCCATTCCACACTCTTCACACCATTCAAACACCATTCCACTTCCTTCACAACACTTCAGACACTCTCAGAACTTCTCTCTCTTGAGAGCCAAGGTATGGATCAGTGGCTTGTGACTGTGAGTTGAATACTGACTTGAGCTCAGTCATGGCTGCTCAGCAGATGAGCAATGGACAGCTTCAGGCCGTGGTCAATAATGCCTATGGTCTGAACTTCAACTCTGTTCAGTGTGATCAGGCCTGGTGTGAGCAGATGCTGGAGGCCTGGAACCGGAATCTGGACTTCTCTTTGGCTCGCAACAAGCCCAGTGTCAAGTGGATGGCATTCTTTGACGCCACAAACCCAAATCCCATTCAGATCACTCAGACTCCTCTCTTCCGTGGTCACTCTACCTTCAACTTGGATGGGAGTGCTTGCTACCTTCCTTGCATTCTGGCTGAGGCATCAAATGCCATTGTGGCTCAGGGTGCCAGTTCCTGCAGCAAGTGCCAGCCTCCAATAGCTGGAGCTCGGCCATTCAGAGCTTGTCACAAGGTTCCCATCCAGAATGCTGCTAGAGAGGATTGCTTTCAGAATGCCTGCACCAACTGTGCTTTTGGGATTCAGTACTCTGGCTGCTCTACCTCTGGCTACACACCTGCTCCACGGACTCCAAAGGAACTCAAGGGAAAGAGCAAGGGCAAGGACAGGGACTCTGGGCTTAAGAGATCCTTGTCTGACATGTCGCTTGTGTCTGAGGATTCAAACAAGTCTGATGGTGCACCACAGCCAAACTCTGTGCGCATTAATGCAGCTCGTGAGGTTCAGGTTGCAGGAGATGGCTCTCGTCGTGGTCAGATTGTTATCAACTTCAACTACTCCTCAACTGCCGGATATGAGCAGTACAAGGCTGAGATAAGGGCTGCTGTACATGCTGTTGAGCTGGCTTTTGATCAGAAGTTTGAGAATGGCAGGGACTTCATGGGCAAGAACTACAGATATCCTCGTGGTGGATAGATCTGGAGTTCAGGATTGGTGGATTTGGTGGTGATCTCTGCAGCACTGGCCCTGCATGTTGTTTTCCTTGAGTCTGCTGGCCAGATGCAGTTTGGGGAGCTGCAAGGGTTCTTGATTTATTTCTTTTGTTGAATGAAAAGCAGGCTCAGGGAGGAGCTACTCATGTTTGATTTTGAGATACCCAGGACAGGGCATGTGTGTGGAGTTTTGATTTTCATACCATCACAGAATGAAAAGGCACTTGGCCACCAAACTGCAGGTCTCCAGTTCACAAAGGGAATGTTCAAATGAGTGTAGTATGCACGCAATGCCATGCTTCTGTATCACAGCAGCTGGTTGGTCTTTCCAGCTTTTGTGAGAGCATCAGCTTCTTGCTTTGCAGTCTCAATGTACTCAACATCAATCACACCATTCTCATACTGATCTCTGCAGTAGTGGTTTCTCAGGTTGGTGTGTCTTGATCTGCCAGATCTTTCATGATTCTCCACAAGACAGATAGCTGACTTGTTATCAACATGAACCTTGAACTTGGTGGGAGGATCTTTGAGCAATGGTTGTAGCTCAGAGAGCAGGTTCTTAAGCCAGTTGACTTCCCTGCAGGTTTCAGTCAAAGCCACATATTCTGCTTCAGTGCTTGACAGAACCACCTCTCTCTGCAGTCTTGATTTCCAAGATACAGGTCCTCCAGAGATCTTGACAAGACATCCAGTAGTAGATCTTGCAGTTCCAGGATCCCCAGCAAAGTCTGAGTCAGAAAATACCTCAATCTTGAGTTGTT